GCATAGTTCTTTCCAGCACCTTCTTTTTTCCAAAAGACTAAAAGCAGGCTTTAGTCTTTTGGCCTCCTTCCGTCAGTCGGTTCGATACGACGATGTAAAGTAAATTATTCGATTTCCACGAATTATTTTTCCTCTTTCTCGTGTGAATCGTCATCGTTGAATTTTTTCTGTTCACATGCATAATCCTATTTGTATATGAGCTGTATGGGCAGTCTATCAGTAGGGTGCTAACCTTACTTTCAAATTCCTCCTTCTTTATCCGAGCTTGTAACCGATCATATTTCTGTTAAGCTACTCGATCTACTCAGCAGTTCTACAGTCAGAGTTAAGTCCGTATTTAGAATTAAAAAATAGAACACTTCTGCAGTTTTTTCTCCGATTCTTCAATTCATACAAACTCACTTATTTAGTTTAAAAGAAGCAAACAACCTTAAATGGATATAAAATGTCTATAAACTGCTCAGACTGGACCCTTAACCCTTCTCTCACTATTAGGACCTTATCTCCTTAGTACGCAAAATCCATGAGATGTTAGTATTTACCTGCGTATTGGCAACGCCGGGTATTATTTTCACAACAAACAAAAACAAAAATATATATCCAACTTCAACAGCGACATGAAGATAGCAACAGTTTCTAAACACGTATAAAAAGGAAAATACCATAGGCGGAGTCATTTAAATTCTACACAGTTATATATAAGAAAAATAAAAATTGACTAATAAATAACAATGCAATTTCATAAAAACATAGCCAAATAATTAGCCATTTTTTTCGAACAGACATTTTGTAAGCCAACGGGTTAGGTTAGTAATATAAATAATATAGATAATTAATAGAAAAAATACCAAAGATACTCTGTGGTCTAGTTATTGAAAAAAATAAAGTGCCACAATTAGCAAATATATTTTTTAATAGATTATTATTATGATACCTTTACGAAAAACAACAAAGAAGCGGTCTAGCGGACAAGGAATTCCTTGTCTAATTTCTTATCTCTAACTCTCTAACCAGTACTCTTATAGGAGCAATTCACAATATAGCCTAATGTTTTGTTTGTGGTGCAGGTTATAATGGTAGATAAGGTTTTCACTTAATATACACGAATCGAAGTTCCTAATAATAAAAGAAGAAAATACAAATATTTTCAGGAAATATTAAATATTACATTAGAGTAATAAGACCTTAAAGTGTTCTTTAAATATAGCATCACTAAAGAAATTTTCCTCAAGAGTGATTTGTCTTACTCTTAAATTGAATACAAGGTATAATATGAAAATAATACAGGTTTATGCACCAACAGCAGACCATGATGAAGAAGAACTGGATCTATTCTATGATGATATCGAAGCTGCTCTTAAAGACCATCAAGGACATTTTACTTTTATATGCGGTGATTTTAACGCCAAAACAGGAATGAAATCCAACCCTACAGAAACCCCACTGGGAAACTTTGGCTTGGATGGTAGAAATGAACGGGGCGAAATACTCTTAAGGTTCATGCTGCAACATGAACTATTCCAAATGAATAGTTTTTTCAAAAAGAAACCATAGAGAAGATGGACATTTCAAAGTCCTAATGGAAAAACTCAAAACGAAATAGATTTTATTATCACGGACAAAAAACACACCATTAAAGACATCACGGTTCTAAACAGATTTGTTACCAGTAGCGATCATAGAATGGTACGAGATAAAATAGAAATAAGCTTAAAGAAGTAGAAAGATAGGCGCAGCAAACTGGCAACGGTTGGCAATGAATAGGACTGCCTGGCGTAATAGACTTGGGAAGGTCGAGGCTCTTTCATAGGGCTGTAGCACCATTGATGATGATGAAGCTTAAAGAAGGAGAGGTATAAGATGATTAAAAAGAAGAACAAATCAAAACCATGGATAAAACCATCAGATGTAGATAGTTTTCAGCAATGTATTTCCGACATACTTAGAAGTCCCGAAACTGAAAATAATATAAACGACTTAAACAATAAATTGACAAATGCTTTACTGGAAAGTCAAAAAAAATTATGTCCTAGAACTCAAAAAAAGAGAAGATTAGCCAAAATACTAGGCAACTAATGCAGAAAAGAAGGGAAATGAGAAGCGAGACGGAAACTAAAGCCGACGAACTACAAAAATTAAATAAAGAAATATCCAAAGCTATTAGACAAGACAAGACAAGACTCGAAAATACAACCAAGAACAAATCGAACATACCATTGAGAACAATAGAAGTATGAAAGTATTGAGAAAAAGACTAAAAACGGAGACAAGGCAGATAATAAAGATTTAAGATAGAAATAGTCATCTTACAACCAACAGAGAGGAAACCCTTAAAATAGTTGAAAACTTCTACAAACTGCTGTACACAAGCTAACACAAAGCAAATAGAAGAGAAGATCAAGTACCAGAAATATTAACAAAGAAAAAGGGTATTGTCAACCTAGGATCAGAACTACTACCGGAAATCACAATGGACGAAATAAAACTAGTCCTAAAGAATAGTCCTAAAAGAATAACAAATCTCCAGGAGAAGATTGTGTAGTTACTGATGCAATCAAAATCGGAGGCAATTGCCTTCTTAAGAAGATAAAAAACCTTTTTAACATGTGCCTTTTGGACAGTAATATACCCGACAAATGGCACAATGCTGAGGTAATTCTATTGTACAAAAAAGGAGATCCCCATGAATTAGAAAACTACAGACCTATAAGTCTTCTTGGTCACCTATACAAACTCTTTACAAGAATAGTAACGAATCGTCTTGAGAAAAAACTTGATTTTTACCAACCAATAGAGCAAGCGGGATTTCGTACCGGATTTGGAACAAATGATCACCTACAGAATATTAAAATGGTAATAGAAAAGACTATTTATTTATTTATTTATTAACGGATATACCATTTTTACATTGGAACAACATATATATAAAATTTTACAAAGTAAGCACAACATTGGAAAATAATAGTAAAGTTTAACAAAATTAATAATTAACTTGAATACAAACTAATATCAAAAACTAATAATTAACTTCAATACAAACTAATATTACACAAATAGCAGTCTCTTTATCACATTTTTAAATTGTTCTAAGGACTGGAAAAATAAGTCCAGATCACTTTGGTACCTATTATATAGTCTCAACATATTAGTAAGAGGCTTGAAGAATTCATAATTAAATTGATGAAATGGCAGATGAAACAATGAAGTATGTCTAGTTCCATGAAGAGTGTTAAGACCTAATCGATTTAAAAGTTCAGGGCAATTTATCAAATTATTAACAATTTTGTAAAGGAATATTAGGCATAAATAATCTTTTCGCTGATTCATGGAAACCATTTTTAAGTGATTAGCTATCATACTATAACTGTATGGGACAGAAAGGTCATGAAAATCACTACGGTAATGATAGTGTTTACTATCGAATACAATCGACCACTCGTTCTGGCTTTTATAGATTTCCATAAAGCCTTTGACACGGTAGAATTTGACAAAATCCTGGAAGCACTACAAGCATGCTACATTGACTACCGATATACAAGGTTAATTTACAATACATACAAAAACGCAACTATGTCGGTGAAACTACATGAAAAGACGGATCACATCCCAATCGGCAGAGGATTCCGACAGGGTGATACCTTATCGCCTAAACTGTTTACCGCAGTACTAAAATATGCTTGTAAAAAACTTAAGTGGGAAGAGAAAGGCCTGAACATTGACGGTAGATGATTAACAAATCTAAAATTCGCAGACGATATAGTTTTGTTCTCGGATAACCTCAAGGAGATATGTACAATGCTACATGAACTTCAGTTAGTGTGTGCCAGTGTGGGTCTTAAAATAAACATCTCCAAAACAAAATTCATGACAAACCTAGTACCTAGCGGAAATACAATATTGGAGATAATGAAGTAGAGCTGGTGGAAAAATACATATATCTTGGACACGAAATAAAGATCATAAGCGACAACCAAACATGCGAACTACGAAGAAGAATAAACCTAGCATGGAAAACTCAAAGACATCTTTAAAAGTGATATACCAATTTCTTTAAAACGTAAAGCATTTGACCAATGTGTGCTGCCTGTGATGACCTATGGTGCCGAAACTTTGACATTGACAGCTACAAGTTCTAAAACGCTGCAAATAGCTCAGAGAAAAATGTAAAGATCAATGCTGAGTATATCGCTTCGTGACCGAGTTAGAAATGAAGACTTAAGACGAAGAACAGGAGTTACCGATGTAATTTCCCGAATTGCCACACTAAAATGGAACTGGGCCGGACACGTCGCTCGAATCAGTGATGAAAGGTGGACGAAGAGATTGCTTGAGTGGAGGCCGAGGTTAGACAAAAGAGGTAGAGGAAGACTCCTACACGATGGACTGACGACCTCAAGAACATGTCAAGAAATTGGATGAAAAGTGCTCAAGACAGAGCACAATGGACAAAAATGAGGGAGGCCTATGTCCAGCAGTGGACGCAAAGGTCTGGGTGATGATGATGATGAAAGTGTTCTAATTGCTCTTTGTTTAACAATAGTACAGATATGATTCCTTTTATACATTCTCAGATCCTATTATTTATAATATCTATGAGTAATGTCCTGTCCTGTCCAGTCCTTATGAAGAGAAACAGATGAACACCAATGATAAACTGATAAACATAAATTTGGATTTGAATTAAAACAAATAAAACAAACTTCATTCCAAAGGTTTTTGGATCCAGTTCATGATCCCATAATCGATTAAAAATTAATTTATCGATTTGGTATACCACTAAATATTAATTTCAATAATATAACTAAAAATTATTTAAAAATTGGTTTAAAATAAAAAGTAACAAAGTAATATCTTTAAAGATGTCTTGTTTTTTAGCAGTTTAAATCAGTTTCTTATGAAACCAAGTATTATATTAATTCGTTCGATTATAAATATCGAGAGTTAGTTCACCACTGGTGTTACCACAACACAAGGCACAAGTGCCTGTCAATGTCAAGATACGATACACATGCTCAAAAATTAAAAATTTAGTTTTAAGCGGTTTTATTAACTAAACGTTTTCATTAAGATTAAAAATTATTTTCAAAATATTTTATCAATTCCTTCGTTCCACTTTTTCTATAAACATAATGGGACGGAGAAATAATCGGTTTAGAAAGAATCATCACTTTAATCATGGTAAAAAGGTAAACACTAACCCTATTTGGATTCCATGTGTCTTAAAGATTAATTTTTGATTAAAATTGTTTAAGGGAGAAGACTCCAATAAACAGACCCATGTAGATACTCGCAAACCCTACAATGACATTATAAGAGAAAATGAAAAGTTTTGTCAGTATTATAAGGTGATTTTTTTTATATACATATAGTTTTCAGATGTTTATACTTAATATAAACGTTCCACTAGGAAACTAAGTTCCTGTAGCTGGCTGTATACCATATATCACAAAAAAAGTTGTTTAAAATCCTTTATAAAAGGCATATAAAAAAAATTTATATACCTTTTATAAAGGATTTTAAACAATTTTTTGTAATATAAGTGTTTTACTATATATACAGCATTTTCAATAGTTGGTTGGTTTATTAACTTTCGGAGTGATGATGAATGAATGAATTATTTATTTCTGAAATTTCCTCTGTAACTGTGGCACATCATAATAAAAGCCCATGTGGTAAATGTCATAATAAAAGTTGCAGACGAATCAGGAAGAAATACTTTTCGGTTAGCGTTCACGACATAAGGTCTAGTTTGGGAGGCTGTGTTTTCAACTCTTTCCATCTAATTTTCTGTTGTGTGAGTTTCTAAAAGGTGAGTTGAGCTTGATAATAACTAATAAAGCTTTGTATTGTTAGATAACTTTTTTGCTTATTGGCTTAATTTTTTTTTTTTGCTCTCTGTTTGCATGCTTATCTCTTTTGGTTGATTGTTTGAAGTAGTATGAGCGACACAGGGGGGGCGGCCCCCCCAGCACAGGGCTAGAATGCCAAGAACAGATGGATAATGGTGATAATTTTGTTAATAATTCGACCAGTAATAGCAATAACCTTGAAAAAGAGCCAGTTTTTTATTCACAAAACGACAATGGGCCGTTTTTGGTATATGTGGAATCCACTGAAAAAGTGGGTTTCAACATTGGTAAATTCAACAATATTAAAATTGCTAGAGATATTTTTATTCAAAACTTAACTGACATTAAAAAAATTAATAACAAAGGCTTAAATAGAATCTCAGTAGAATTTGTTAACTTTCAAGCTGCAAATAATTTTGTAAAAAATAAAACTCTTCTTGATAAAGGCTATAAAATATTTATACCATTCAATTTTGTAACTTGTAAAGGATTAGTTAGGCAAATTGATGTTGAATTAGTAGAGAGAGAACTGTTAGAATTTTGTAAAACTAACAGCTCGGTAGAAGTTCTTCAAGTTAAGAGATTAAACCGTAAAATAGTTAAAAATAATGAAACTACATATGAACCTACTGGATCGGTTCTCTTTACATTTAAAGGTGTTTGTCTCCCTAAATCCATAAATTTGTATAGATTGGAAAGACCTATTTCTGTATATATTCCCCCAGTAACTCAGTGTTTTAGATGTCTAAGGTATGGCCATACACGTACAAATTGTAAAGGCAGGGAGAGGTGCTTCACCTGTGCTGAAGAAAAAACATCAGATGGGGAGGTTCACTCTTCCTGTAAAATTAAATGTTTTTATTGTAAAAATCCCCATAAATCAACGATAAAAGTTGTCCCGAGTATACAAGACAAAAAAATATCAAAGAGCTCATGTCTTTTGAAAATATAACTTTCTATGATGCTAGCGAAATAGTTAAAAAAACTTATTTGACACGTGATGAATTTGTATATCGCCCCTCCGAATTCCCTATTATTAAAAACTTTAATACTAATGAAAAAACACATGATAATAAAGATAACCTTATTCAACCTTCACAAAGACGTACGCATCATGTAAGAACCGATCCTATCAAAAGATCTTTTCAACAAGTCGTGGCTGAAAACAATAAAAAAAAAAGGATAATTCACAAAGGCTATGATAAAAAGGCTCATAATGAAAATTTATTATTTCCCAACTCAAGATCTCAAAATGAAAACAATTCACCAAATTTCTCAAAAAAATTTGAAAACAATATAAATACACAGTTGCCTACTACTAGTGCAGTTCACACTTATAATTCAGAAGAATCTACTTCCTCATATCCAGATGAGGTTAGATATATTATTAATGCAATCTTAAATACGTCCGAAAATAATAAAAAAGTAATTAAAAACATATTATTCAGTCAAAATTTTAATATGAATATTGACCCTGGTTCCCAATCGGACTCAGAGTCCTAAATAACCTTCTTTTCTTTTCATCTAGGTTAGATATAATTAAGTTAAAGATAATTTGTTGGAATCTAAGAAGCATAAATTCAAACAGGGGTAATTTAATTAACTTAATTTACAAAGAAAACCCGGATATTTTTTTAATAAATGAGTCATGGCTAAAAGCCAATGACAATTTTAAACTCAATTCATATAACATAGTTAGGCAGGATAGAGATGATGGGTATGGTGGGATTGTAACATGCATTAAAAATAATATAATATTTAAGATAATTAAATCTTTTTCTTCAGAACATATTCAATATATAATAATAGAAATAGGTAATTTACAAGTAATTAATTTTTATTGCAACTCACATATGCATATAAATAACAATATTTTAAATGATCTTATTTCCTTCAATCCTAAAAATATTATAATTATGGGAGATTTTAACTCTCATCATCCCTTATGGGATAAAGCTACACCCAACAAAGGAGGTAGAATAATTCATGATTTCTTATTTGATAATGATCTAGTTGTTATGAATGATGGTACACCAACATTATTTCAATTGTCAGCGGCAATACCAAGTGCTGTAGATTTGACTATGGTAAGTGGGAATCTAGCTATTAGGTCTAATTGGGATACTATTAAAGATTGTGGTAACAGTGACCACTTTCCTATACGTCTTGTACTTAATGATAATGGCAATTGTGAGGTACTTAACAACACAATTAGTCCTTATAAAATTAGAAACTTTAAAAAAGCTGATTGGGAAGCGTACCATAATAAATTTTTGATATACCTTCAAGATTTAGATTATAACTTAACCTATGACCAACTAATGTATATTATTAACATTGTAGCTGATCAAGTAATTCCAGTTAAACAGGCCGGTATACATGTTAAAAGGGGTAATGCCTGGTGGGATGATGATTGTACATCCTGGGTTAAGGAAAGGAAAAAAGCCATAGCAAATTTTAATAATTTTCCATCTATGGAAAATTATATATTAGCAAAAAAAACCATTGCATTAACTAAGAAAAAATTAAATAATAAAAAAAAAAGAAAAGTTTAGGCTTTTTTGTGAAACTTTAAATAGGAACTCTAGCATGACTTATGTTTGGAACAAGATTAAGAAATTCAATAATAATAACCTCAAAACAGGAAGATTTAATCTTACTATTCCAGATAACCTTAAAATATCTATTTTAAATAAAATGTCAATCATAAATATAGATCCAAATTTTGTTCTTAACAACATAGATGAAAATTTAAAGCACTTTTCCATAAATGAATTAAACCTGGCTTTAAATAAAAAGAAATCATCCGCTCCTGGTATGGATGATATATCTTATGAAATGTTTCAATTTTTACCTTTCAAAGCTAAGCAAATTCTTATTAATAGTTATAATAAAATTTTAATGGGTGGAGAAATACCAGCCGCATGGAAAACATTTAATATTATTAGTTTTTTAAAACCAAATAGGGATCCGACAAATCCAGAAAATTATAGACCAATTGTCCTGTCTTCATGTGGAGCCAAAATTCTAGAAATAATGATCAAGAATCGATTAGACTGGCAATTGGAACATAATTTAAAATTTTCAAATAATCAGACTGGATTTCGTAAAGGAAGAGGTATATATGACAACATAACATTCATCACATCATACATTAACCTGGCATTTCAATCCTCTGAGTCAGTCATCGTAATTTTTTTAGACATAAAAGCTGCATACGATAATGTTGACATATATAAACTCTATAATAAACTTAAAAACTTAGAAGTGCCTATCCGAATGTGTAACCTAATTTTCAATCTTTTAACAGAACGATCACTATATTGTAGGGGTAATGACGGCTCCTTTCTGGGTCCTGTAGCAACAACCTCGGGTATACCACAGGGCTCCCCTCTGAGTACTATTTTATTCAATATTTATTTAAGGGATATTTTTGATTTAAATTTGGGAGAAGCATCTATCATAGGGTATGCTGATGACTTGGCAGTTATGATCAGAGGAAAAAGTGTAGCATCCATGGTAAATAATATCAATAATGCTTTAAAGCACATAAATGCACACCTTCGTGAACACAACCTGTCACTTTCCATGGATAAATGTGAGGCAGTATGGTTCACCAGAGGGAGGAAACATACCATCCCACCCCCCATACATATTAATAACGTAATCATTGCATTTAAAAAGGAGGTTAAATATTTGGGTATTATACTGCAAGAAAACATGAAATGGTCATCACACATTAATAACATTACAAATAAAGCAAAAAAATCATTAAATGTATTAAGAGCACTGTGTAGGGTTTGGTGGGGTGCAGATCCAAACACACTTTTGATAGCCTTTTCTGCTCTAGTACAATCACATCTTGATTTTGGATCAATGTTTCTTAGACCATGTTCTAAGGCGGCTCTCAGTAAATTGGATGTGGTGTTTTATGAGGGATTACGTATATGTATGGGATGTATGCGTTCCACACCCAGGGTTGCACTTTTGGCTGAAGCATCTATATTAGATCTGGAACATAGAAGAAAACTACTGGCCCTTAAATTAATTTCAAAATTCTTAGTTGTAACAAATCATCCCTCTATTCAATTTATCAACGACTTTCTATTAAAAATAATCCATAGACCAGAGTTTTGGAATAAGGACAAAATACCATACCTAGTGGAAGCACTTCAGCACTATAGGCCTTATTTAAAGTTAATATATAGAGGTTCAAATTTTCCCTGTTACGAAATTGATTTTCATATACTCAATAAACCTTTAAAACCTGTTAACTGTAATTGCAAAAAAGGAGACATCATGTCAAGATTTAATTTTGAAGTCGAAACTAATAGTCTAAAATCTCAATATACTTTCATTTTTTCTGATGCGTCAAAAAGGGACAACAGAGTGGGTTTTGGTATATTCATTCCATCCCTAAACTATAAATTTTCGTCACGTCTTCCCAATCATCTAAGTATTTACAAAGCAGAAATAATTGCCATACATGATGCAGT